AATCAAAGTGACCCATCCTGCTGGCCTCACGCAGGCCCTTCCTGCAGCACCAGTTCCAGATGCTTCTAGTCTCCTGTCATAAAAATGCTCCCTTGCCCGGCCCATGTGGCTCGGTAGTTGAGTGTCGGCCTCCGAACCAGGAGGTCATGGTTCGATTTCTGGTCTGGGCACATGCCCAGGTTCAGGGCTCAGTCCCCAGTGTGGGGCGTGCAGGAGGCAGCCGATCCATGATTCTCTCTCATCATTGATGTTTCTCTCTCTCTCCCTTCCTCTCTGAAAACAATAAAAATATAGTTTAAAAATGTGTATATATATATATATATATATCCCATAGCCTGGCTCCCTCCCTCTCCTGCCCAGCAGTCTGCCGTCACAGCCTCCACTGACCTGCCTGCCTCCACATCTCCAGGCGATTCCTACCCCAGATGCCCTCACCCAGGTCGCCTGGCTTGAAGGGTCCCACTCCACCCTGTCCACCTCCTGGAATCCGGCGGCAGGCAAAGCTCCAGCCCCGAGGTGGGTGGTCTTGTTCAGCAGCACCGGAGGGGTGAGGGGCAGGGCCTGAGGGAGGGGCCCAGGGGAAGGCACGTGGGTACCTGCGGGGGGAGGGGGGGCAAGTCCCGGCACATCGGGGGCTGTGGCCGCCAGGCAGGTTCTCTCCTTAAGTTTCTGGGTAAACAGTGTGGAGAGTGGCCCTTCACCGGACCCAGAGGCAGCAGGAGGTAGCTCCCCGCCTCTTGCCCCCCCACCACGCCCACGCCTACACACACACACACACACACACACACACACGGGCAACTGCAGCCCTGGCCTCCAGCCCTCCGGAGCCCACACCCCACCTTCACACCTTCAGGAGGAGTTTCTTGAGGGGCCCACTCTCCAGGCTGTGGCTGGGCCAGGGCCCGCATGGAGAGGCCCCCCGAGTCCCAGGACAGGCTCCCTCCGGGGGTAACTGAGAGCCAAGCCTAGCGGGTGGCCTGGTTCCCCGGGGAGAAGATAAGGGGGGCATGCTGGCCTGGGGACGGGTGGGCTGGGACTGGCTGGGTCTCCAGCGTCCACACAGGACTCCTTTTCTTCCCAGGTGAGTCCTGGGCACTCAGAGCCCGGGCAGCAGGACCTCCCAGAGGCAGGAGCCGAGCAGGAACTCAGGTGGATAGAGCTGGGCTCGGAGGAGGCCCTGGGAACAGCGGCAGAGGGGACCCGTGTCCTGCAGGCCCGGGGGCGCCTGCTGCAGGCTGCGTGGAGCGGTCACTTAGGACTCACAACCCAGCTGCTGCGGCAGGGGGCCAGCGTGGAGGAGAGGTGAGCCCCCGGAGCGCAGGGAGGGGTGCGGGCATCTGGCCAGGATGTAGCGGGTTCCCTCGTGGGTAAAGCAGCAGGTCCCTTCGCTGACCTGGGTGGGAAGGCAGGGCCCC